AAAAAAAAAAAAAAGAAATATTTGACTTTAGAATACATGTAACAGTTGGAGGCTGTAATGTGGTGCTCTATTAGAGAGTAAGAAAGTGATGGCGATTGGGGACTATCGAGCAAAGGAGTGGTATAATAAAAGTTGTCCCTTGGAGACATTAATCTGACAGTGCTGTGGTAGATGAATTGGAGGAATGAGAGACTGAAGATGAGATCAACTAAGGTAAAAAAATTGAGATCCTCAATCAGGGTAGCCTTTCTAAGGATGTAAGGGGAAGACAGGAGTTGTGGCGGTAATATCCGATGCTTACAGGGGAAATGATGATCCTAATTACTGGAAAAAGGCAAACTAGCCAAGAAGAGTCTTCATGAATAAAATGATAAATTTTAGAAAAGTTGAATTATAGATGCTTTCAGAATCATTCAGGTAAGTAGAAGCCTAGCAGTAGTCGTATATACGAGCAGTAGTTTCTATCAGCTCTAATTGTGGTGTAATAAAATGATCTGAAAATTGTGCACAAAAAAACCCGAGAATAACCAACAGGAAAAAATTTTTGAAGTTTGAATTTTCTTTTTTCTAATTTATAATGAATGGTTACTATGTTAAGAGAATTTATAGTATGTTTACTTTTCATGAAAGAATAATCATTGTTTTTCAGTAAATATTTTGTAGTTGAATATTAGATTTAATAGTAAAAATGAATACAGGACTTATTTTATTAAAAATATATTTTCAAATCTTTTAATAGCAATTTTAAAAATACTGATAACCAATAATTCAAAGTGTGTAGATGTTACATGTTTAAGAGTTAACATTGATCTCAGAACACCAGAATTCCATAACTAGTAGACTCCTAGTTAAGTTACTTTTTGCTTTCAATGGCATCATTGAGGCTTATTATACAGTGTTTACACATTATAACTGTTTAAAAAATATGTATGCATATATTGAAAGAACTGAAAGGAATAATCAAAAATAGCTGTTGTGAGAGCATTGTCCAGGCTGGGTGTGAAGTATGCTTATAATATAGTAACCCTCAAATCACAGATGTGTGGTACATGTAATGTGTAACTTGAACATTTAAGCTAAGTGGTAAACAACCTAAAACTGACAAATGACTTCTCTGTCATAAACAACTTCTAATATTATAAGCAACTATCTGGTTGTAAACAACTGCTTTACTGTGCTATGGTGTGACATAGCCCTTTGTTTGTCTCTGTTAGACACCCGAGTGTGCACCCCTGATTATTAAGCTATGACATACGTTACCCTGACACAATGTGAATTGGACACCTGCTGGATAAATCCTTATTGTGCAAGATCAGTGGGACTAAATCACATAAACTGCCCCACCACCCCTGCATTTGCTCTTCCAATGAGCGCAAGGTAGAGACAGGCAACTCTTTGTCAATCGAGTTTCTGGCCCTTTCCTAAGACTAAGAATTTGCCGGAGGCTCTGCTAGATATTCTAACCATCACTGCCGACCTTGGCTTCCAGCTACAGGGGACCTCTGCCAAGGATGAGACGTTGGTCAAGGCTTCCTCCTGAGATCGCTTGTTAAAAGTATGCCTGAAGGTTGAAGATTTGAACATTAATTATTGAACTAACTTTACCCTACCCTGCTTCTCCAGCTCTAAATGAATGTCTTGAGATCTTATCTGTGTCCTGTGCCATGGCTACTTTAGAATAAACTAAATGAGCTTATGTATGAAAAAAAGAAAAAAATAGCTGTTGTGTTGGTTTTTTAGCCTTATTCATTTTCTTCTCTACTTTCTAAACATTCTGTGATATTTTGTTTTGCATTTATAATAAAAGAAAAATCAATTGACTTCAAACTTCTTACCTTTTCTTAAATAAACAGAACTGGAAATCAAGCATTTTATTTCAAAATATGTTCTAGCCATAGAATAAAGTTAGGAGCTCATACATTTAGAAATTAGTTCATCATGGTTGACATTGGCATTTGAGTGAGCTCTCCCTCCTCCTTGGTTCCTTTCAGAAACTGACAACCTACAACAGGGGCTGTTGACAGTCCTTCATCTTTCTTGGTTCTGTTGCCTCGTCCATATTCTTCTTTGCCCTGTTACTCTTCCACTGACATGGCTGTGTGGATCAATACCAAGCATTGCCTCAGAGAATTTTTGCTTCCTATTTTAACATTACTGAGTTTTTTTTGGTCAATCTAGTAAGATGTAGAGCTTGGTATGTTGAATAGTATATTTAGAGTCGGAGGATTGGTCAGAGCAACATTTTCTATCTTTATTTCCTCCTCAGACTCTGAATAAAGCTTACATAGTACTTCGATTAGTTCAGAGTGGTTCATTACATGCTTTCTTTGTATTCAGCAAAGTTTTATGTGGCTGTCATACGCCTCAAACAATGATTTAATGCATTTGTATTTTCAGGGAAATTTTGGTGAAGTATATAAGGGCATATTAAAGGATAAAACTGCTGTTGCTGTTAAAACGTGTAAAGAAGATCTTCCTCAGGAATTGAAAATAAAATTTTTACAAGAAGCCAAGTGAGTTCTCTTACAACATGAGTATTTATAAGTGAATCATCAAAATGTTAATTTGAAGATATCTTAAGTTGTGACTTGCTAAAGTAGTCAGTAAGTAAGCATTTTCAAAACCCTCATAAGTAAGTACTTTCACAATGTGGAAACAGTCTCTATGTGTTTGAGGTAGAGTGAAGATCAATTAGACAAGCATAGTCAAGGAAGCAGGTGCTAGCAAGCAGTAAATGAGGATTCTTCAAGGCTTTAAAAAACATTGCCATACTTTTTGCTTATCTGACGTATATATATATGAATGTTGTTATTGCTTTTATAGTAGAAATAGTACTATATTATGTACATAAAATAAATAATTTATATATAAATTTAGGTATGTAATTACATCTGCCCTACTGTCTTTAGATAGTATGGCTTGATTCTCTTTTTCCAGCTCATAGCTATCCTTTCTGAGAACTTCAATTTCTTCTTCAACTCAGTGTTCTAGCATTTGTTCCAGAATTTGCATATTGCTTCTTTTCTAATCAGTCTTCTAGGGTGATTCTGTTCTCTTTTTTCTAAAGTGTAATATTCCACCTGGCTTACTTTTGTGTTGCAGATAGTTAAAATTATTCTGTTAATGGTAAGATAGAGTATATACAAATGAAACACAAAATTAATGGAAAGGTACTTTGGACAGAGTAAGCAGGATAAACGTATGGATGGGAAGATGGGTGAATGGATATATGGATGGATGGGTGGATGGATAGGAGACGCAGAGGATACATGCATCTAAAGATACGTGGTATAAAGGGAGGAAGGGAGGGAAGTGTGTGATGTGTTTATATGTTTCTGTCTGTATGTGTGTGGTCTCCGTCATGGCTTAGTACATAAAATGAAGTTTCTGTAAAATGCAATGGGAGAACAAAAGAGAAGGCAACAAGAAAACTAAGCCTCAGGGCATGGAGTATTTTGACCTGCATTTTTTCATTCATTGATGGTAATGGATTAAACTAGTTGGATGTACTTATTAAATATTATCTGTGGAATAATGTTGTAAACCTTTTCATTTTGTGTGTATTCTTGGCAATTCAAAAAAAATATTCTCATGAGAAATTGGCATGCTATCACAAATTGAAGTTTCACAGCCTCCTCATTTTACAGTTATTCATAGGTATTCTTAAGATATATGACTGTATCTAACATTATTTTTGGAAATATTTAAATAATTCTCTTGCTTTCTGATTTGTCATTGTTTTACTGCAACAGAAGAGTTTAATTTCCTCTTTTAAAATGAGATTTTGTAGTTTCATGTTAAAAATGGAAATTATATCCTTACAAATTTCCAGGTGTCCTTTACTAGACTTTGGAGCTATATTTAGATATTTAATATTATCAGAGTTTGTGCTGTTTTGTGGAATTTCTTTCATAAGCAGTTTCTCTAACCTAAGAGATGACATTTTGTATTAAAGTCATACATTCTAAAACTTTTTCGAAAATGTCTAGTAGAAAGTTGTAAGCTTCTCCTCCAAATACAGTTAAACTGTTCTCTTTGGAGAGAAAACTGCAATTTTCGAATATGAGTGAATTTATGGCCATGTTAATAGGATAATAAGGAAGACATTTTGTTAATAGAAATCATCAGGGTAGACAGGCCTCTTAGATCTTCTAGTCTAGTTTTTAGTATATATATGTATATAAAATATATATATGTGGATTTTTTTTATCCTACTTTTAGGCCTCTAAAACTCCTTCTAATGAACTTTTGCCTTTCTCCAAACTAAGTTTCCTCTACTTTGGTTTAAGCCTATTTAAAAGTCTGTTAATTAATTTTTAACATTTTACCAGCTTTCTCAAGACTTCAGAGTTTTTGCTATTTTGAAATTGATCATAGTCATCAAGAAAGCATTTAATTATTACAAAATATAATGAAGTGATCACCCTTTAGCATTTACTCGTGTGGGTTGAGTTCTTATTTTTATGTATTCTAAAATCAAATGTGTACATTACAGAAAAGAGATACCATCCTAGCAGCTTACAGTTTTTGTTTCATCAGCACTTCTAAGCCGTACTTATGTGGTGGTGGCTAAAACCAAATACTTTTCAGGGAGTTCTGTGTGTTTTGGACTAAGTAGACTATTCCTATGTATTATGGTTATTAGTTGTTCAGATTGGATAATAATTTTTAAATCAATATGTAATTGAATTGAGGCAAATGGACTCATTCTTCCTTGTATTATTTTGCCAGTATTTATCAATATTTGTTTGTATACATCCCAGTTATGATAAATTGGGGTCATGCTGAACTTTCAGAAATTGAATTGTAATGATTAAAGTGCATTCTACTTTTACATACTGCATAATAAAAAATTAATGCTTTAGCTATTTATTATTCAAATGATAACAATCCTTATACCCTTTCCCTCTCTTATCCAGAATTCTCAAGCAATATGATCATCCCAATATTGTTAAACTTATAGGAGTTTGCACACAAAGACAGCCTATCTACATCATTATGGAACTGATTCCAGGTAATGTGATTTGAAAGATTTGCCTGATGACATTTTAATGTCATGTTTTCTTACTTTTATATTTTCAATCTCTTTGATTTCTGCTTGTAAAGTTTAAGGATTTTGTTTAACGTTTTCGTGATGGCAAAGAACTTGTACACATACTCATTGTTTTTTATAGTCTATAATACTTTGCTGTTTTCTAGAAAGTGTCAGCAAACATTTGTTTGTGTTTTTTTTTTAAGAGACAGATTTATTATTACAGTGCCATTACTCATGGAATCTAGTTATTTATAGTGTGTATTTGACAAAAGATCTTTAGAAAAATAGTCTAGTTAGTTTTACTTTGTAACAATAATAGTAATATCTTATATTTCTTTTTATATCATTTTCAAAGTAGATCTCCATATATCCTCTTGTTTCATGGTTGTATATAATAATCCTATGGTACTTTGAGTCACTTATGAACTATGAGCTTCTTTCATATGTGAACAAAGAAAAGGGCAATCTGTCTAGGAATTTGTGCTGGTATTTTTTTCTGCTGACTTTCTGTGCCGCCTCGTCTTTTGATTAACATCTTTTGTCAACAGACAAGGACAACTTCAAGCTGATATATACTCATTCCTCACATATCGACTATCTCGTTATCTAACATTTTGGATTTACACTGTCAGTAAAAGATCTACTATCCGAGTATTTTGTGCATTAGCAACGTGCATCTGGCAGTAATGAACGCTGAGATGCAAGATGAAAGTAACACTGGCTGCGATGGATAAGATTATGTGTCAAATTGGCTGGGCCATGATTCTCAGTGATTTGACAGTTATGTAAAGATGTAATCTGGCAGTTTTGTAATGATGTAATTTGACAGTTATATAACGATGTAGTCATCTTCCATTTTGTGATCTTGTGTGGTCACCTTCCATTTTTGCATAGTGTCAATTTTTGCATAACGAACTGGTCTTTGGAACCTAACCATTTTGATAAGTGTGGAGTGGGCGTATTGTGTTTTTAAGTTTTTTCATTGTACATCTACCTGTTGTAGGAAATACAATCACAGAGGTAAATTTTGTTTTTTATAGGGTACTGACTACAATATTTAATAACTGAAAGGTATTTGCTTTATCTTGAACAATTATTTATTCATTTAAAAATAAATTACAAAGGAATTTGAAAAATATTTTCAACTTTAATTAAAATAGATTAATTAAACATAATATTGTAGCCCTCCCATTAAATACTACCCACATAATTCTTCCACTATTTAAGGATTATTGATCCCATTTTATTATAATGGTTTGTTTGCTATTGGAGTACTTCTTGATATTATCATATAACTGAACAATTCCTAGATTATTATAATCTTCATCCTCATCAAGATGGCATTGTCCCTGATAGGTACAGTGTATGTTTGCATGGTTTGCACTATTTATAATATATATCTTAAAGTAGCTTTCACTATAGTTATGAAAAGATGAAAGAGTGCTGTCCAAAAATGTAAAAACAATTGAATAGCCCATAATTGTAATTAAAATATGCTGGGTAAATATTATAAATACATATTAACATTCACATAGGTGCTAATGATCTTATCTGGAAGCTCTTGGAAAGATTTTGCTACCAAACTCATTCAAGTTGTTGACAGAATCCCATTCCTTGCAGTTACTGGTCTAAGGTTCGTGCTTTTTTGCTGGATGCAGCCTGGGGCATCTCTCAACTCCTTAAGGTCTCCTGCATTCCTTTTCTCATGGCCCCCTCCATCTTCAAAGCCAGCAAGTGTTTTGATGTTCTCTGACTTCCTCTTCTCTTGCCAGCCATAGTATACGCTCTGCTTTTAAAAGGGCTCATATGACTAGATCAGGTACACCTGGATAATCTCCAGGTCAACTGTGCCATACAACAGAATGTAATTACAGCAGTGATATCTAATCACATTCACAGATTCCAGGGGATTAGAGTGGGCATCTTTGGGAGGCCGTCTTTGAATTTTGCCTGTCACAATAGATATTACTAGATTTTCTTAAAGGTTAGTTGCAATGTGGAATCTGAAACCATATGAACGAACTTTTCATACTCTGCTACATTAATTTAAGCCCACTGGTCTGTCTTGCACTTTGAATGCACATTTTACCCATGCATGATTTTGTAGCATCCTGCTTTGACCATTTGGAAAATATTAGATTACCAGGTTATGCTGATCTTCCAAATGGTGACACACAACCCATTATATAGTATCAAAATATCACATTCATTAATATAACCACTGTTCTTATCAGAAGAGTATTGAGAATCTGTGAAGCTCATGGTGGCAAATGTATGTTTTCCAATTTTTAATTTTCATTTGAAATGTTGGGTTTTATCATTAGAGACAAAAACTATCAATTGTTTTCTTTGAAGTGTCAGGCTCACTTTATTCATTTTTGAGAAAATATCCACCAGATATCTAATTTAATATCCATAGTTTGTCATTCTTTCTCTATTTTTAGACAGCTTTATTAACGTATAACTGACATACAATAAACTACATATATATAAAGCATATAATTTTATTAGTATTGATATATATACATATATGAAACTGTCACCGCAGTCAAGGTAATGAACACATCCATGTTTTCCTTATGCTCCTTTGTGATTCCTTCCTCTCACCCCTCTCTATCCCTATCCCAGTCTCCAGCAACAACTGATCAGCTTTCTCTCACTATATATTAATTGGCATTTCCTAGAATCTTATATAAATTGTATTTTACAGTATGTGTTTTTTTTTGGGGGGGGTTTGTTGCTTTTACTCGGCAAAATTATTTTGAGATTCATCCATGTTGTAATGTATACAATAGTTCTTTCCTTTTTATTGCTGTATAGATTTTCACTGTATGAATATACCATAGTTGATCTATTTTCCTGTTGATGGAGTTTTGGGATGTTTCCAGTTTGGGACTATTATAAATAAAGCTACTATAACCATTCATGTACAAGTCTCTGTATGGACATATTCTTTCATTTTTCTTGGGAAGATACCTAAGAGTGCAGTGGATGGATCATATGGTATGTGTATGCTAAATTTTTAAGAAGCTGCCAAACTGCTGTCCAAAGTGATTATACTAGTTTACATTTCCACCAACAGTCTATGAGAGTTCCAGTTTTCACATCCTTGTCCATACATGATCAGGTCAGTCTTTAGCCATTTTAATACTTGTATAGTAGTACTACCTTGTTATAGTTTTAATTTGCCTTTCCCTACTGACTGATGATGTTGGACATGTTTTCATGTACTTATTTGCCATTCATATGTCTTCTTTGGTAAAATGTCGGTTCAAATCATCTGCCCATGTTTTCATTGGGTTGTTTGTTTTCTTATAATTGAGTTTTCAGAATTCTTTGCATATTCTGGATACAGCATTTTATCAGATATATGATTTGCAAATGTTTTCTCCCCATCTCTGGCTTGTCTTTCCATTCTCTGAAGGGTGTCTTTTGAAGAGCAGAAGTTTTTAATTTTGATGATATCTAATTTATCAATTTTTTTTCTTTTATGATTTTATGCTTTTGGTCGTGTATCTAAGAAATCTTGTCTAGCCCAAAGTAACAAAGGTTTTCTCCTATATTTACTTCTTGAAGTTTTATAGCTTTAGGATTTATATTTGAGTCTATCATCCATTTGGGGTTAATTTTTGTATATGTAGTAAGGAATGGCTTGAATATACAGTTGTTCCAGTATCATTTGTTTAAATGATTATCCTTCCTTTCCTGATTTACTTTTTTACATTTGTACAAAATTAATTTATATATATATATGTATATAGACTCTGTTCTTTACCATCAATCCTTTTATTTGTTATTACGCCAATACCACACTGTCTTGATGACTGTAGCTTTCTAATAAATCTTAAAATCAGGTTGTGTTGGTCCTTAAACTTTGTTGTTCTTTTTCAAAATTGTTTTGGTTATGAGCTGTCCTTTGAACTTCCGTATGAATTTTAGAATTAGTTTTTCAGTTTCTGCATAAAGGCTTGCTGACATTTAACTGGGGATTATGTTGAATCTCTAGATCAACTTGGAGTGAATTGATATCTTAATAATATTCAGTCTTCTGACCCATGGATACAGTCTGTTTCTCTACTTATACTGGTCTTTAATTTCTTTCAGCAATGTTATGTAGTTTTTAGTGTACAGGTCTTGTACATCTTTTGCCAGATTTATCCCTGAGTATTTCGTATTTTGTGATGCTATTCTAAGTGATTTTTTTATTGCAATACCTGCTACAGAAGTTATAGAAGATTTGAATAGCACTACCGATCAACTTGAAATAATTGACATTTATAGGCTACTTCTCACAACATCACCAGAATACACATTCTTTTCAAGTACACAGAGAATATTTACCAAGATACACTATATTCTGGACCATAAAGCAAGTCTCAATAAATTTATAAGAATTCAAGAAAGATCTCTGAAAAATCCCCAGACATTTGGAAACTAAGTAATGCACCTCTGAATAATCAATGGGTCAAAGAAGAAATCAAAGTGGAAATTAAAATGTATTTTGAACTAAATGAAAATGAAAACAAAACATCTCAGAATTTTGGGGGTGCCACTAAAACAACACTTTTTTGGGGGGGATTTTAGCACGAAAGGCTTCTGTTAGAGAAGAAGGAAGGACTCAAATCAAGACCTCAGCTTTCACCTTAAGAAATTGAAGAATAAGAACAAATTAGACCAAAGTATGTAGAAGGAAAGAAAAAAATATAGACGATAGCAAAATCAGTCGAACAGGAAACAGAAAAACAGTAGAGAAAATCAGTGAAACCAAGGACTAGTCATTTGAGGTCAGTAAAGTTGACAAACTTCTACCCAGACTGATCGGAAAAAAGAAGACATAAATGACCAATATTGGGAATGAGAGAGGTGACATCATTACAGCGTCTACAGATGCTAAAAGGATAATAAGGAAATAGGAGCAACTGAGTTTGACAACTTAGATAATATGGACAGATTTCCTGAAAGACACAAACTACCAAAGC